ATCCCAACCAGTGCTCCATGGCTTTGTTATTGTTTTTTGTTTTGTTTTGTTTTATCGAATCATAATTGATTATGCATATTTTGGGGCTTCACTCTTGACATATGTTGATCAAATCAATATTGCTAGTATGTATATTGTTACAAATTGTACTCATTCTTTATGCTTCTTGTCCTATCGCTCCTTACCCCCCTTCCTCTCCCCACTCCCACCACTGATAACCCTAGATTTCTTCTCTCCCTCTGAAAGAGTAATGGTTACTCGATTGATTTGTTGCCTAGATGATCTGTCCAATGCTGAAAGATGTGTTCAGGTCCCCCATTATTATCATAGAGCAGACGTTATTGTTTTAATTGTGGTGAAATTCATATCACATTAACCATTATAAAATGAATAAATTCAGCGGAATTCAGTACGTTCACAATGGTGTGTCATCACCACTTATATCTAGTTCCAAAACCTGTCATCACCTCAAAATAAAACCCGGTACCCGTTAAACAGTGACTCATTATTCTCCCCTTTTGCCAACCCCTGGCAACTACCAATCTGCTTTCTGTCTTTATGGATTTACCTCTTCTGGATATTTCATGTAAGTGTAATTATAAATTGTGACCTTTTGTATCTGGCTTCTTTCACTTAACACCAGGTTTCTGAGATTTATCAGTGTTTTAGTATGTATCAGTACTTCATTTCTTTTGACAGCTGAATAATATTAATATTTCATTGTATGTACCACATTTTATTCATCTGTTTATATTCAGTTGGGTTGTTTCCACCTTTTGGCTAATGTGAATGGTGCTTTGAACATTCATGTAAAAGTATTTGAGTACCTGTTTCAGTTCTTTTGGGTAAATATCTAGGAGTGGAATTGCTGGGTCATATGGCAATTTTATGTTTTACTTTTTGAGGAACAACCAAACTGTGGTTTGGTGGCCACTACAGTGGCCAAACCATTTTATGTGCTTACTAGCAGTGTGCAAGGGTTCCATATCAATACATCCTCAACAACGCTTGTTATTACCTTTTTTTTTTTATTGTAGACATTCTAATGGATGTGAAATATTATCTCATTTCCCTAGTGATTAGTTAGGTTGAGCATCTTTTCCATGTGTTTATTGGCCGTTTGTATATCTTCTATGGATAAAAGTCTATTCAAACCCTTTGCCTGTTTTAAAACTGGGTTTGTCTTTTGTTCTTGAGTTGTAAGAATCCTTTATATATTCTGGATGCTAGACTCTTATCTGATGTATAATGTTCATATATTGTCTCCCCTTTCGTAGATTGTCTTTTCACTTGATAATGTCATTTGATGCACAGAAGTTTTTAATTTTCATGAGGTTCAATTTACCTGTTTTTTTTTTTTTTCTTTTGTTGCTTATGCTTTTAGTGTCGTATATTAGAATCCATTGCAAAATCTCAGGTCATGAAGATTTACTTCTGTATATTCTTCTAAGAGTTTTATGATTTTAGCTTTTATATTTGGGTCATTATCTTTCCTGAGTGCTAATTTTTAATGCATGGGGTGAAGCAGGGGTCCAACTTTATTCTTTTTCATGTGGCTGTCCAGCTGTCCCAGTACCATTTGATGAAGAGACTACTTTCTGTTGTTGTTGTTTTTAATCTACCTCTTTATTAAAAAGTTACTTTAGTAAAGTAGATAAGATCACTGGTTCAGGAGACAGAATTCTTGGATCCAAATCTGGTATTACTGCTTACTACCTATGTGTCCTTGGACAAGTTATTTAACATTCCTAACACTCAATTTTCTTATATAAAAAATAGAAAAAAATCAACTTCATAGCATTATTATGAATAATAAATTTTATAATATATGTTAACAAGATTCCTGATAATAAGTGTAAAGCTAGGGCTAATGTCGGAATCCGGCTGACATAGCCAACTGTCAAGCTACACAACTACGACAGTTGTTGAGTAAGGCAAATCATAACTAAAGCCAAAATGTTTCATTATTTTAGTTGTACTGTGTTTCCATTTACATTGTCAGAGCTAGGGCTCAGACCCTTCAAACCCATTGTACAGACTGGGTCCCCAGACCCCTCACACGCAGGTCCATGCTAGGTAATTGGGAAAGATCCCAGGAGCTGTTGGCAGAGGACACGAGCTCAGTCCTCAACAGTGGCAGCAGCACCTTACAGGTCCAGCAGCATACAGGTCTGGCGGTGGCGGCAACCTCTCGGAGGGTCTTGGGGGCCCTGGCAGCAACAGCCTCACAGCAGCATAGCAGCCTTCCTGTGGGCCCCCAGAGACAGGGGCACTGGGGATCAGAGCCACTGGTCCTTTATACTTAAGTCCATAACCCAGGACACCTGAGTGCACATGCGCAATTACATTAGACAATAACCAAGGGACACCTGGGTGCACGTGCATAGTTACATCAAATGCTTGGCAAGATTCTGAACATCTGAGGGGCCCTGACCATTTTCCTACATTTTCTCAACAATAAGATTAGTGTTGGCAAGAATTTATATCACTATATATAATCTTTTAAAGAAATCACGGGGCCGGCCCGGTGGCGCACTGCTACAGTGCGCCGCTTGGGAGCGCGGTGGCGCTCCCACCGAGGGTTCGGATCCCACATACAGACCGGTTCCCGCTCACTGGCTGAGCGAGGTGTGGGAGAAACGCCGAGGGTTGCGATCCCATTGCCAGTCCCGGTCCGGTACGGGCGTGACACTGAGGGTTGCGATCCGTTGCCGGACACGAAAAAAGACAAAAAGGAAAAAAAACAAAAAAGAAATCACTATTTAGTAACAGCTAACCCAAATTACAGTCCATCAGGCCTAAAGTAATAGTTCAATTCTTCAAAAGGTAGTTCTAAAAGAATCCAGATAAGTTGAGATAAATTAGAAAGACTGTGATTGAATAGACACTTACAGTATATCAGGGCATTTTGTATGCTATTTACTCCTTAAAATAATCACTGTTTTATAAATAAGAAACCTGAGATTTACAGTGTTAACTAACTATTCCAAGATATGATTATATAATGATCAAGTAACGGAGAAGATGGGATTCAAATCCAGATCTGCCTCTTTGTAAGGTCTGCTGTTTCATTCTGTTATGACTTACTGTAGGGGGGAAAAAGATTTGA